AAAAAAAAAAAAAAAAAAAAAAAAAAAAAAAAAAAAAAAAAAAAAAAAAAAAAAAAAAAAAAAAAAGGTAAGTTTGGGATATTTTTTAGAACGAGCTTTTAAAAAAATAGTTAAAATGCTTTTGATAAAATTATATACATGTTTTTTTTAATTATTTAATTGTTTTAATAATTTCTCTTAAAAATGGGATTTAATGAAATTTATTTGGTTATATTATCTTTTCCAGCATTATTCTATATATATCAAATCACCAAAAATGATTCGAATGTATTTTTTCGTCCATCACTTTCAAATTACTTTTTTGAAAAAATAGCATTCTTTTTAAATTAAAAATAAATTTTTAAATGATTTTGATTTATTACCAAACATGGTAAATTATAGCTATCTAATCATATTAACTATATTTAATCTTAAAAAACACGTAGGAAGTTACAAAAATACCCCTTAGTCAGCCATACGCGTATAGGGTTACTGTTGATTAAAAAAACAGTATAAATAAAGCAAATTTAAAAAACGAGGCAATTATTAGTTATTTCTCCTAATTATTATAAATTTGTAGTTGGGTCGGGTCGGGTCGGACTATAATCTTATTTAAACTGGGCCTTAAAGCCCAATAAAAGGGTCCCGAGTTTATTTGATTAGGGTTTTCGTTCATTTTCATCAGAGCCTATAAAATGCCACCTCCAACCTCTCAACTCTTCACAGTCTGGTTCTCTATGGTTGTAGGGTTTCGTCTTCGTTTATGGCGTCGTTTTTTCCTATGGTCTTGTAAAGGTCTGTTCCAGTATTTCTTTTATTTCTCTTTTCAATGGAAGATAAAGAATAGAATTAAGCCAATTTGCAGAGCAAGGGCGTCTATGATAATAATGGCGTGAATTGCATTGAAGGTTGGCAATACTACGTGAGCGATTCTCCGTGCCTGTCAAATCTTCTTTGGTTTTGATTATGGCCTCGAACAAGTCGCTACATTCATTCGATCTCTTAAACTTCTTCCGTTCATTTTTTCTGTTTGTTCTTTTTATGAGTACATCTTCTCTCAGTAAACTAGTTGGATAATCTTTTGTTCTGACGAAATCTCCTAGTCGATTCTGATTTCGTTCAATATCTCGTTTTAAAGAATTAGTGAAGTTTACGTTTAATCCAATTTGATCATTCGTAGGTGCGAGATCTTTGATTCTTTCTGGCTTCCTTGTTAATTCTTAGATCCTTCTTTTATTATTGATTTTTTTTTATTTCTTTTTTTCTTCGAATTCGATTTTTCATCCACTACTATATTATTTATGTTTTTTTTCGAATAAGAATTTCATCCATAGGTATCTTGGATCTTCCATTGCCTCCCTAAAGTTCCTAGTTCTTCTGACATCAGTGTTTCTATATCTTTTAGCGTTTCTTCGTGGTTCCTCTCTTGTAGAATTTCCGTTATCCCAATGAATTGAAAAACGAGATGGATCATTTGAGTGATTGATTGGATTATTGGACATGTGAGCGAACTTGAATATGGTGATTTTCTTTCGATTGAGAGTCGCCCCTTTAGATCTTGGTTTTATGCCCTAATGAGATCTCTTAAGTGGAGTTTTTATATGAAAACCAGAATAGCTTCCACAATACAACAAAAGAAAATATGATATTCACTCTTCATAGCTAGATTAAATATGTTTGCATTATTAATATAATTCCACCGTAAAATAATCAAATATTTAGACTTTATTTGTTAAAATATTCAAGATTTGAGCTTCGAAATGGAAATTTTTATGTCCTAAATTCAAAATAATATTCATAGTTTTGATCGGATATGAAATGTAGTCTTATCAAATTAAACTTTTAAAGCTCAGCTTAATAATATAAACAAAATCTAATATAGATTATTAGTTTTTAAATAAATTAAACTTCTATCAAAATTGTAATCTCAAATAATATATATTTTAAATTTAGAACATTGGCTTCTATATTTTGAAACTATAATATTAATGATACTTATTGACAATAAAATGTGGAGAAAATGAGGAATTATGAACAAAATTGTAGACAGTGTTACGATATTATTACAGGAGAAATGAAATGACAAATTTAAAATACGCACAAAAGACTGGAAGACCCATCTTTCTTCTACCTCTATCACACCTAACCAACAACCAACGCACAACATTGTATCTACACTACACGCACACAACACTGAACCGACCCTTTTTTTTTTTTTTTTTTCCTTTTTTCAAAATAGATCAAAGAAGATAGATGATGCTAACCATTGTTCTTAGACATAATAAAAAGTTACACCCAATGATGACTTCTCATCTGAGATTCCATACATTTTTTTCTTCTTCCTGGTACCTTCTACAGCTTAACCTCCCGATCGAAAATCCAACTGAACGGAATGGCAGGGCCTTCTTTTGCCCGCGCCTGTGCTCTTTCTTCTAGCCTTCTAATTCTTGCAGGTAACCCGCACACATAATCCTGAGCCTTCTGCCCCTCACCTGATAGCCCTGTGAGCTTTTCCACCTTCCACCGTGCAACTAAAAACTCCAATATGTCTGCATAGTCCTTGGCCGTGTAAACCCCCAGCCTCTGTGCGACAGCCGAGAAGTGATCGAAGAGGTTGTCGTCACGGCCATCATACATCAGATGGGCAGGCATTGAGACCTTCTTCCTCATCATGTCTTCAAAAGCTATGACAGTTCCTTCAGGGTCTATCTCAAAGAGCTTTTCCACAATTTTTGTATATGCAGTCTCGTGCCGCTTCTCATCTGCGGCAATTGTTCCACATATTTGAGCTAACTTTATGTCTCCATGATCTTTTGCTAGTCTGGCGGTGTTCCCATGGGAGATGAAGGTAGCCCTCTCTTGAAATGAGGTATATATAAATCCTAGGTAAGGATTGTTTTCCGTCCTTGGGTCCTAGAAACACAAACAAAACCCATATGAATTATAAAAGCAAAAGAACATTAAACAAATTGAAGAACCTATCACCTATCAGGATCAATGAAAAAATTGGGAACGCCAAAAAGTTCGTAAAAATAATCAGGGCACCTCAATAAATTTTGGTACATATGAGCATTTTGATATCCAGCAGAAGAGAGAAAATTCTGCCCAAAAACATATTTCTGAAGAACATACTTGACGCGGGAGACAAATTGAACTGGCATATCAGTTATCAGATAGAATGCATGCAATTACCCAAATGCTGCAGGAATTGTGAAGGATGCAAGGAATTAACTACAGCATCAAGGGGAGCGTGTGTGGGCCATCATGCATTCAACGTATGTGCATACTGTACTCTTATATAGTTCATGGGTACGAACGTAAAGAAAAGAACTGTCAAGGTAAATGATATAAGGAAAAAGAAAATTGACAGTTTTAGATGGATCTCACCATTCCCGATCCAATTAAATACTGAATTGTTTTCTCAATCTGCCTCATGTCCACTCGCCCAGATAGGTAAAGATATTTATTGAGTAGATCACCATGCCTGTTCTCTTCAGCAGTCCAAGCCCTTGTCCAAATAGCCCAAGAAGTGGGGCTTGCTCCTGTTTCGTCCCTAACTCCATCCAATGTATTCAGCATTGTCTGGTAAGTAGGAAGGGCCTCTTCTGTAATCATGTCTCCAACTAAAACAACGAAGTAATCATCAGGGAGTTCCTTTGCCCTCTCTCTAAGCTCCATGACTTGCTCATGAAATCCCTCAGATGCCGGATCTGGTAAAAAATCTTGTGGTTGCCAACACCTCTCCACTGGCTTCAAATGACACAAAATGTTCTCTTCGGCCCAATCCTCCAAAGATTTAAATATCTCTATCTTCTGAGGTGGCATCGAGTGAGTTACTTGAAGATGCACTTCCCTTGGAGGCATAAAGGGTTTCTTAAGGGTCTCAACCTCCCTGGAATATTTACGAAACACACAATAAAAAAAACAAAATAGTTATGAACAAAGATTGCTCATCGCTGCATAGGCAGACTATCGTTAAGACATCCGAAGTATATGTTTCTCATATGTCAATTTTTTGCCAGGTAACCAAATGTTAAATCCTTTGAGTACTTCAAGTGAATGATTCTTTCAAGCAGCCATGGCAAGTAAAGGATTGGGATTACATTCAAGATTTACACCAGAAAAACTTGGACTCTTTAAGGTTTGTAAACGTATAAGCAGAGATTTCAGAATATGGAATAACTGAGCAGCAGAAGATTGGAATGATGATAAATGAGCTGGGACATCAAGAGCCTACGGTGGTGCCACATAATCAAGAGAAGCTATAACGTTAAAACCGAAGAATTCCAAGGACAGGCCAGCAGCAAGAAGCCTCCAAAACAAGACAGAACATTGAACGCAACACTGTCAAATACACCAAAGAATACCAAATGGACAATCATGCCACCACACAATTAACTACGGTTCGAATTTACTGCCACAGAAAAAAAAAAAAAAAAATTGAACATCTAATTTTATTATCAATAACTACAACAGAAGGAAGAAACCTGTTCGTACCAGCAGGAATGAACCATAATCATTCAGTCGACGTTATATGCAATAGAAACTAAGACAGACAGAAAACGAAAATGATGCAACTGATCTTCATCGCCATTAATTATGAAATTCCAAGGGAAACACAACAGTTAATTAAGAATCAAATTTCTCAAGAACATAAAATGGAAGACCATGACATTAAAATGCGCAGAGAATTACAAAAGGAAACAACAAATAAGTGCAAAAATCAACCGAACAATACGCGCCAACATGCAATTAAATAGCAATCTGAGGTGATAATAAGCCGAATAAAAACGAATGAATTCGTTTGCGACAAAAATCAATCGGCGTAATGAGCGGATACAACGAGATGCAAAAGAAGAAAACCAAGAGTTAATTGAAAGATGAACAACGCAAAACAACAAAACACGGAAACTAAGATTCACAAAGATCTGAAAAGCATTAAAACAAGAATGAAGAAAAAGAAAAGGAACGTACCTGGAGGTGGAGTGGAGAGTGGAGGCCATAACGAACTTAGGAGATCTGAGACTTGCAAGCTGCGGCATCGCAAAGGACGGAAACTTAGGAGATTGACAGGCGAGGGGATGGAATTTGAGCGCCATTTTCCAACTGGTTCCGTATCAACCTTCTTTATTCCGGTGAGTTCGTCGGAAGACGGCTCCTCAACAGGAAGAAGAATGCTTGCGTCGCCCTTGGAATGGAAGAAGAAACCGAGGCCACTTTACGTATGTGAATGTGAAGCTAAGACTTCGGTGGCAACTGGCAATGGCCACTTTCAACCTCACTTCCTATTTCTCTCTCTTCAACTCTTTTCTCTCTCTCCCTACAAATGGGCTTTTGTGTGGAAGAAACCTCTTGGACCCCAACCAGAAAGGCCCAGCTTACCCCTTCTCCCCTAAACTATATTGAAACCTCCGCAAAAACCACTTTTTGTAAAAAAAAAAAGAAAAGAAAATAATAATAATAATATAATAATACAAATAAATAAATAAATAACGTGCCCTTTTAATTAAAGAAGATAGTAGTCTATTACAACCAACAACTACCGGTCCATTAACGAGTATGAGAAAGAGTTAAATATGCGACTTTATCGCTTCAATTTAAAAACTAATAAAAATGACAAAAAGAGAAAAGTACTAATAATAATAAAACCCCTTCAAAATTAATAAAACGTCTGACGTTCTAGTTAAAGAAAATATACATTCTAATTAAAGAAAAACTTCCATTATTTTAATTATCCATAGCACATATCACAAAAATCTCATATATTTAATAATTTACTATATATTTTGTAATGTCTATAATTTTATTTAGAATAATATTTGTTGTGGTTAATGCTTTTAATACAGGGTCAATAATAGACATTGAATATAAGAGTTTTAAACATTTAAGTTGAATTTTATAGTATCAGTTAGGTCTTACACTTATATATACTTAATTATAATATAAAATAATTTCAATTAACGTGTTAAAAGTGCCAACCTAAAATAATTTCATTCCTATCCCTCTGTTATATATGTGTACATTGACATTAATGGTTACAATAAGTATATGAACGAAATTAAATGTGGAAAATGTTAGATGAAAATTCTACATCTGCTAATTTAGAAAATGTTCTTAGATTTATAATAAAATAATATTCTTTCTATTAGTTTGAGGCATTTTGAGAAGACAGAATACTCTTTCTATTAGTTTGAAGATTTTAATTCATAAAAGCTTATTTTTTAAAATATCATACCATTGTAGGTGGTCGTTTTGGTTTAACAAAAAATACATATTGTATAGAGTTTTCGTGCCATGAACGAGTTATAATAAAATGTTCTAGCTATATGAAAGTTTCCAGCGCTAACATTCGACTACTAGTAACAAACAAGGGAATATTAATAATGGAAGGATGATTGATAGGTTCATCAAGATCTAGAAACTTATACTAATTTCAATCATTAGAAGAATTGCCAGTTTTAATAGGAGAATACGGTCGAACAAGTCAAATATTCAAAGCCTTCTCACTGGTCTTGAGACTTCTGTCGCTTGGTGTACTGAAGGATAGGATCCTTAACCTTCAAGAAGAACAAGATTTAAAATTTTTATTCGAATTTTTCATTTTGAATAAATAAATTCGGAAGTAGTACCGTGCTTGTCTTTCTGGATCGTTTATCTTGAGTGGATTTTTCAAAGTCCATCTCGTCAGGGTGCTGGTTTGCACTTCCATTCACTCTAATATTATCATTTCCTGGCACGAAACTCTCTCTGGACGCAGCTGGCTGCACGTTTAGTAACAGTACGTATTTGTCAAATATGGAGGGAAACAAATGGCATTCACTTAGTGGAGTGAAAGCTTCGGAAGCACTTACCGCAGGCGTGCTTGTGGGAGTGTTTCCAAGGTCCGTTGATTTCGAATCATTTTGGGGTGTGCCTGAGGCCACTCTCATGCGCGTTAAATCTGATCCGATGGAACGGAGGATGCCATATGTGGACATGTCCTTGTGGTTGCTATCTGAGAAAACGAATCAGGCTTCTGTTACCGTCAGCACTGATAATGATAGGAACATTTCTGGTGGAACCGAACTTGAAGTGTTTAAAAGTTTTTAGACACTAACCCATCTTGTTGTTGGACTTTCCATGTGGTCCATAAGAATCGATTTCCTGGAAAGAGGTTAGAGGCTTGAAAAGTAGAAAACACGAAATGCATACGTAAAAGAGGTTTTGAGTTGCTACCATGTCTTCGTAGTTCAATACTTTCTTTACTTCTTTGAACTTCTTTTCAGCTAAATCTGAGTGGATCACGCGTTTGCCTGATTGTGCAAATAGGAACAATGATTTGGTCATTAGTTAAGGAAAGTATTGAGATCCTTTAAAATAAAAGGCAGCACTAAGAATTTTCAAGATGGTGCATACCCATTCTTCGGCTCCCTTTGGCTTCAACAAAACCATCTCGAATCATCTTGTCAATCATTTTACGTACTGTGGTCAGATTGGCCTCTCCTTCAAGCTTGTTTTGAAGCTTTGAAACCGTCACATAACTCATTTGAAGAGTGTGATATAAAGTCTGAAATAAAAAGTCAAAGCTTCAAAATTAAATGTGGATATTGAGCAGTTTCAAATTCCGTTGTAAGGAACGAATATTTGTGATAAATAAAAGAGTGAAATAAGTTTAGCTACCTTCATATACAGGAGATCGTGGACTGTGGTAGCGTTGGCACCAACTTTGTCTATTTGACCATCAGTTTCTTCTTTCACCAAGTCGAATTCATATTCAAACGCCTGATACAATTGATGATCCCAGTAGAGTAAGGAGCAAACAAGAATAAGATATGAACATTTCACTTTCAGTCATCAATTGGGTATACGAGTTTATCAAGAAAAAGGAGTTAGATAACAACCTTCTGCCTGATTATGTTGTAAGAATCTCTTCCAGTCTTGGATAAAACGCCTTCGTTAACAAGCTTGTCCATAATTTCTGAAATGCAATCAGAAGATTCAGATGCGTGTAATCAAATCTATGATAATAATACTAAGGCTTTCTCCATTAATAAACTTAGCTTTCTCCTTTAATAAATGTAACGAGGGACGCATTCCTATACCTTCAATTAAAACCTGCAGTAAAAAGAAAAATAAGCCAATATCATTTCAAAGTAAATAATAGTTATTGAGCACAAAGTTTGAGAAACAAGGTCCTTGCCACCGAGATGTCTGGAAAATTTGAAAGAACGTCGGTAATTTCTAATTTGTCATATTGGTAACTATAGATCCAGTCCTTCACCCTTGCTAACTGCTGTTCATCTTCCTCTGGATCCTGAGTCTCATCTGCACACGATATAATTTCTTGAAGAAAGGCAATTCGCTGGGAAATCCCGCATTGTTAGAAGTGTTTATTGCCGAAAGAAGAGTCGTCAAATGCAGAAAACGTGAAGAGTTACAGGAAATACATTGAGATGCATTTCGTGGATTTTCTTAATTTCGTATTACCATTCCGCTTCTTGAGTCCAGCTGATGATCTCACTTAAAATGTACACCAAAAAATGTGAAAAAGCATACATTAAATTTTACCTTCATCAACTTTCCTAGTATTATCTTGTTCTTGTAGTTGTAGTTTTTCTGCCAAGAAAATTTTGGTTATTTACGGTAACAACTATAATGAATGTAACAAAATTTTATAACAGGAGAACGAAGCGAAAGAATAACGTTCATGCCACAACCTCTTGGTGCAACAATATAATCGCCTTCTGGGGAAGGGTCAACCTGGTTATGGAAGAGAGACACTGTCATGTGCTTTAGACCACCTTGAAATTAAGTTGACAGAATATTGCTCTGAATCAGCCATTTAGGATGGAACAGGATTAGTTCACCTCACTATCAGTTTCAGAAAACCCGTTCCTTTGTTCCGAGTTAGCTCCTACGCTAACTTCAATCTCTTCATTATCATCATTTTCATCTTCACACGGATCAAGCACGCTCTTTACCTGTAAATTTGACAAGCAATCAAAACTTTTAACTCAATTATTGATCATGTGCATAACAATTGTTTCACCTCCATAAATTTCAATAACTTACTTTGAGAGCTAATACAAAATGCTTGCTGTTGACGTTTCCAACCTCCATCCTTAATGGACTTTTAGTCCAGGGATGATGTGCCTCTTCCTCTGCGCAACTCCTGAAGAATGGAGGTTCATAATCGACTGGCTGCAATAAGATAATCATAATTACTAATTTCACCGAACGAGGATTTTGCTTTAAAGGAGAAAATACCCTTTTCTACTGTCAAAAGAAAGTGAACGCGTGAGCAATGTATATATGTAGCACCACAAATTAGCAATTGGTTTGCCAGTGTTACGTGGTTGAAAACTGTCAAATAATGGCATGTGAAGTACAAATGTTCCCAACGATTGAAACAAACATTGAATAATTTTGGAAAAGAGCATGTAAACATACCGTAACATCATCATAGTAGAGGAGTTTCATCAATATGGTGCGCTGAGATAAAGAATCAATCATGTTAATTCGAAGCATGGTATCTCGTAATGCTTGATGAAAATTCACATTTTAGAAACTTCAACTCTCTCATTCAAATTATGAATTCGTTAGGCCTTTACCTCTTCGGGCATCTTATCCAATGTTCTCATCAGCTGAACTAGCGTACGAACCATCTTACAAGCAGAACTCCTGAAGTTCAAGTTACCGTCACACATCTCACTGCCAGTACTAATAAAAAGAATGTTCAAGGTACCGTCACATACCTCATCTGGTTGGGAGTTATTTCGGCCGTGGAGTTACACTTGAATGTTCCTCCCTGTTTCTTGTTTCCAGTGCGACTGACGTTCATTGAGACCTCTTGACTATCAGAATTGGAGTAGCTGAAAGAAACTGCAGGCAAGGACGTAATAAGTATCAATCTTAAGAATTATTGGAAATCTCTAAATATTAACTCACTAGAACAACGGTAAGTTTTCTATACCTAAAGAAATGAACATTTCATTTTGCCAATCAAAACTACATCTCTTTAGCAGGATCAAACAGAAAATCTAGAGATGTAAGAAAAAAATTGAGAGAGCTTACAGGCATATTCCTCAATCATTGGCCCTTCCACCGCCTCACACACGCAGAACAGAAGCGTTTTAAGGTACTTCCGCTGCAATGCATCATATACACCTGAATAAACGTAAGAAAATCATTGTCAACAATAGATTATAAATTGAGAAACAAAAATATCAGATATAAGGTTCAACTCGACATGCCTTTTTCCATCCAGTCAATCAATCTTCGAGACTCTGCATCCATCGG